CACAAAACTTCCCCTTCCATCAGCTCTTCTTTGTGATCACCAGTCACTCTGAAGCCACAACTTTCTGGTAGTACCACACCTTTTTGTACATCAGACTTAACATCAAACAGGAAGTGCTTTCCTTGGTCCCATATTTATTTTCCCTTAAGAATCACCTCTCTGTAGTTCATTTCACCCAATAAATTATCAGACAAAAGTATTAGCATTTCAGAGGAGTTTCTTTCTGAACCATAGATAAGTCAGGCAAAAGGAACCTATGGTTGCCTTTGATCCCAGAACTGCACATCTGTTTAATCTAATAAAAGACAAATATGCAAATTGACTGTACCTTCTGTTTTCTTGGTGAACCTTCTGCTAGTCTGGAAATCCCCTAATCCCTTAGCTCCTTTATTGGAGGAACATCATGGTCTCACTCTATGTGAAGTAGGACAGGACAGACATGTTCTCTGGCTTGAAGTTCTGTATCCTAGAAGTTGGCAGGCAATCAGCTATGTAACCACACATGATGGGTGACCTCTGCATATGTGCTCTGATACTCTGGAAATGGCAAAAGAAGTTAGGCCTATACTGGTAAGTTGCTAGGGCCCCCACCTTCTCCTGTGACATCCTCAGCTGGGGCAGGGAGGTTTGAGCACAGAAAGCCATTGACCCTGCAGGGCTGTGTCTAAGCTGCTGGCACAGAGATACACGGCTGAGTCTCCCAGCTGCAAGGCGCTCATGGCCAGCTCAGAGCTGTAGTCACTGGACTGATTTCCTGAGAACCGATCAGGGATGCTCCCTTTTTCTCTCTCCTCCTTTTCAAAATATTCAATGAGGAACTGAGGGCCGTGTCCCAGAGCCTGCTGGTACCAGTACACACTTCTGTGTCCGGAGATGGGGTTACACTTCAGAATGGCCATCCCCCCTTGGCCTTTGATTACATGTCTTGGGGACTGGGTAACTCCAGCAGCCACTGAACCTGTGGAAGAAGCAGACAGAAGCTGGAGACCAGCACAGGAAGGACATGGATACTCGGTAACAGTTAAGAACTTTAGATTCAAGGGTTGTCCCACCTGAACTCAGGACTCACCTGCCCCCGGGAGACAGAGGGCCACACAGCAGAGGAGCCAAGGGCCACTGGGAGAGTCAGAAAGGGCAAGACGGGCCATTTTTTAATCATTAGAGCCGCAGATTTGATATTGCAGAAAACATGCACCTCATCTCAAAGCTGTTTTTTGTGTTTTTTTTTTTGTTGTTTTTTTTTTGCAGTGGTGTCTCCCATGCACCCGGAGTAGTGCCTATTCATGTTAAATAGTGAAGGGAGGTTTGCTATGTGGACAATGAAGAATAATGCCAAGCCTTCTCATGTACACAGGACCTTTAGAAGACATCTACAAAAAATGTTATTCTCTTTTTCAAAAAGCAACCTAAATCAGCCCTGGCTGGTTTGTCTTAGTGGATAAAGTGTCAGCACGTGGACTGCAGGGTTCTGGGTTAGATTCCGGTCAAGGGTATATACCTCAGTTGCAGGCTGGATCCCTGGCTCAGGTTGGGGCATGTGCAAGATGCAACCAATCAATGTGTCCCTCTCACATTGATATTTCTCTCGGTCCCCCCACCTTCCCTCCCACTCTTTCTAAAAATCAATGCAAAAATTTCCTCAGATGAGGATTAACCAAAAAAAGCCCTCTAAATTTTCATCCCACAAATCCCAAACTACTCTGTACCTGTATTTAATTAGTGTTTATTGAATGAATGATGAAAGGAATGAATGGTTATAGGAGTCCAGGCAGACTCCACATCTGTAAAGATAACCCAGTCTAGTCAGTTATACATAGGTTCAGAGCTTGAAGGGAGCAACAACCCATGTGAGTCTGTTGAGAATTCAAAATTAATCAAAATAAACAGGGAAAAGATTCATTCCTATAAGTTATTATAAGACTTTTTGTTTTTATAGGCCTTTTTGAATGAATGGTTGTCAGAATGAAAGAAATAAACATGATGGTCACTTCCTCCTATCACTGTCACTGTTTAGGCTGCCCCCAGAGGCACAGTTTGAGATGAGGATTTAGGTGCAAGTAGTTTATTTTGAAAATAATCTCAGGAAGCAAGAGAAAGAGAGCAGGGAGAAAGAAATAGTGAAGGAGAAATCTAGGATAAGGTGCCATACTGCAGTTATGCAGGCACATTGGAAGATGGATTTATGGATTTTGTTGGAATCTGCAGAGAAGCACACAGACCACCTCCTGAGCTGTCCTCCTGGATACAGATAGGCTATTATTATATAGGATGGGCCAAGCCCAGGAAGCATCATAGAATTGTAGAGGTAATGTTGATTTTGGAGGCCTGGAGATTTAGGGTTGACACATATGAAATATTTGGAATGTCCAGGATCTGCAGCTTCCTGCCTATAAAAAGTTATATTGAAGGCTTCTTCTTCTGTAAAGTGGACAGACATTAGTGACAATGCATTAGCACACACAACATGGACCCCACTCTATCACAGCAGGAGTTCCTGCCATGTGCTAGGAATTGCCAGGTGCTGGCAGAGCTGGAAAGGCACTCAGGAAAGGTCAGGCTGAGCTCAGCAGGGTTGTGATCACCAGTCACTCTGAAGCCACAACTTTCTGGTAGTACCACACCTTTTTGTACATCAGACTTAACATCAAACAGGAAGTGCTTTCCTTGGTCCCATATTTATTTTCCCTTAAGAATCACCTCTCTGTAGTTCATTTCACCCAATAAATTATCAGACAAAAGTATTAGCATTTCAGAGGAGTTTCTTTCTGAACCATAGATAAGTCAGGCAAAAGGAACCTATGGTTGCCTTTGATCCCAGAACTGCACATCTGTTTAATCTAATAAAAGACAAATATGCAAATTGACTGTACCTTCTGTTTTCTTGGTGAACCTTCTGCTAGTCTGGAAATCCCCTAATCCCTTAGCTCCTTTATTGGAGGAACATCATGGTCTCACTCTATGTGAAGTAGGACAGGACAGACATGTTCTCTGGCTTGAAGTTCTGTATCCTAGAAGTTGGCAGGCAATCAGCTATGTAACCACACATGATGGGTGACCTCTGCATATGTGCTCTGATACTCTGGAAATGGCAAAAGAAGTTAGGCCTATACTGGTAAGTTGCTAGGGCCCCCACCTTCTCCTGTGACATCCTCAGCTGGGGCAGGGAGGTTTGAGCACAGAAAGCCATTGACCCTGCAGGGCTGTGTCTAAGCTGCTGGCACAGAGATACACAGCCGAGTCTCCCAGCTGCAAGGCGCTCATGGCCAGTTCAGAGCTATAGTCACTGGACTGATTTCCTGAGAACCGATCAGGGATGCTCCCTTTTTCTCTCTCCCTCCCTTTTTCTCTCTCCTCCTTTTCAAAATATTCAATGAGGAACTGAGGGCCGTGTCCCAGAGCCTGCTGGTACCAGTACACACTTCTGTGTCCGGAGATGGGGTTACACTTCAGAATGGCCATCCCCCCTTGGCCTTTGATTACATGTCTTGGGGACTGGGTAACTCCAGCAGCCACTGAACCTGTGGAAGAAGCAGACAGAAGCTGGAGACCAGCACAGGAAGGACATGGATACTCGGTAACAGTTAAGAACTTTAGATTCAAGGGTTGTCCCACCTGAACTCAGGACTCACCTGCCCCCAGGAGACAGAGGGCCAACCAGCAGAGGAGCTGAGGGTCCCTGGAAGATTTGGACAGGGCAAGACTGGCCATCTCCCAGCTCTGGGCTCTGGTGCTTAGGGTGAGAGAGCAGAGGCTTTACCCCTCCCTTTGCTCTGAGTGGAGGGCTTGCCTGTGATGTCACTGTCCTTGTAGGCTCCACAGGCACCTTGCACCTCCCGGACAGACTCAGCTGCTCCAGGCATTCCTTATTCTGTCCATCTTACTATGAACAGGTGCTGCTGTCCAGGCAGGGTTTGTGGCCTGTGGTCATCCCCACAGCTTCTCTGTTTCCTAGAAGCATGTGCTCCTTGCTCTACACCTGACTTGAATTATCCAGGCAACCCCACAGAAGGAAGCTCCCTCACACTCTCCACCAAGCATAGGCTCCAAGAGAAGCCGTACCTCCAGACAAGCCAAGCTCATGGCTTCCTGCTGTGACCAACACACCTGCATAGCAGTTAGTGTGAGAAGATATGATCAGCAAACCTCTGATTCATCAGATAGTCTCCCTGATGTAGGGACCAAGCCAAGACTCTCTCCCTTAACCCTCGCTCTCCCATAGGGCCCCATCAGCAGCTCACTCAGTGGATACACAGCGCCCCCACGTGGCCACTTGTGCAGTAGCGCTGTTGACACTGCCCAGGCTGGCTGGGTTCTGTTTGAATTAGGTCTCAGGATTGGTCGGGGACCCTGCACAGTTCCTGCTGGAGAACAATTGAAGTGTGTTCTCACAGACCTGGACCTGCTGATGTGATGTTTGCCTGTTTCAAGTTCACTGTTTCCAGGTGGTAGTGAGGAAGGCATGATGCATATTTCCAAAAAGGGAATAAAATTCTAAATATCATCAATGAGTGTTCTGGGATGGAGGACACCATGCATTTGCTGCCCTGGGAAGGGGTAGAGGGACCTTGGGCAAAGTGCTGTCATTAACCAAAGGTAATTCTTGGGCAGGGTAGACCACAGGGTTCTATCCACCAAAAATGCTCCTACACAGCTGGAAATAAATCCTCTATGAAGTGCCTACTTATGGATCCTTTTTGGGGGGCAGGGCAGGGGTGGAGGTGAGATAACCTTATTCAACTCTTTAATCTCTTTAAAATTGAATTACTCACCTTTAAAAGTTATTCGTTTGTAGGAATTATTTATATTTTTTATACATGCCCTTCCTCAGATATAAATTTTTTCTTGATTTCGTTTGAAATCAGGATTTCAAAATATTTGTAAAGAAAAATGTGCTTTTTAAAGATTAGAATATTTTTTGTTCTCTCTAAGAAATCTTTGCTACTCCAAGGTCATGAAAAGAATTTGATCTTCTTTTTTTCTTTTCAGGAGCTTTATATGTCATAATGAATGCTGACCCATCTCATAGGAAAGTTTGCAAAATCAGCAAAAGTCTTCTGTAAACAGTTCCGGTTTTCTGTCCCAGCTGCTGAGCTCTGTCACAGCTGTGCCAAAGCATCCAGAGACACTGTGTACATGAGGGAGTGAGGCTGTGCTCCAATAAACTTCCTGTAGCAATACCAAAATCTGAATTTTACAGAAATTTTGTATGTCGCAAATACTGGTTTTTAATCTTTTTTAAACCCTTAAAAATGTAAACACCATTGGTTAGCTTCTGGACCCTATAAGATGGAGTGAGGTAAGGATTAAAATTCACTATTTTCCCATATGCACCACTGATTATTTTTCCAGCACCATTGTTGAAATGACGATTTCACACCTTTTGTGCTACTTTTAGTGTTTGATCTAGGGATTACAATATGCATGTTTAACTGACCATAGTATACCTGCAAAAATGTCTATTAACCATGAATTTTTTTCATACATGCCCTTGATTAGGGGAAGAACTTTTTCCAATTACTTCCAATTTACTGAATTTTTATCAGGAATTGATGTTGGCTTTTATCAAATGTTTTTAAGAATTTATAGAGATGATGATGTGATTTTTCTATTTTTTAATATTTGAGTACAACGACATATTTTTTAATGTTAAACTAACTGCACTTTAGTGAAATAAGCCCCACTTGATTATGATGTGTGTTACCCTCTGCAGATGTCATTGCATTTTGATATACTGAATTCTAAAAGGATTGTTAATCTGTGTCCATGAGGGATATTGATTTGTAGGTTTTTGTTCAGTGTTGTTTTGGTAATTTCTCGGTCTCATTTGAGTACCATCGTAGAGCTGGTCTCAGGATGAGTAGGGAATTATTCCTGAGTTTTTTCAGGTTCCTCAGTAGGTACTTCTTTAATGACATCCTACAAATTTTGATATATTTTCATTTTCATTAAGTTAAAATCCCTTTATAATTTCCATTTTGATTTGTTCTTAGCCTCATGCGTTATTTAGAAGATTGTTATTTCGTTTCCAAATATTTGGAATTTTTCCAGATCTCTTTCTGTTATTGATATCTAATTTAATTCCTCTGTGGTGAGAGAACATGCTTTGTATAACATGAATTCTGTTAAATGTATCAATACTTATTTTATACCCAAAGTCTATAGCATTCTGGTCCATGGTCCATGTGTACTCGATAGAATATGTATTCTGCTGCTATTGGGTGAACTGTAAATATCCGTTAGGTTGGGGTGATCATTAATGTTGTTTATATCTTCTATATTCTCACTGATTTTATTGGGAGGCAGTCATGATGTTCAATCAATTACGACAAGTGGCCCTAGCTCAATTGGCTCAGTGGATAGAGTATTGCCTCAAGAACTAAAGGGTCCTGGGTTTGATTCCAGTCAAGGGCATGTACCTCGGTTGCAGGCTCAATCCCTGGCATCCAGTATGGGTGTGTGCAGGATGCAACCAAGAGATGTGTCTCTCTCACATTGATGTTTCTCTCTGTGTGTGTCTCTTCCACTCTCTCTCTGAAAAAAAAATTACTGACAGGTCTTGAAATGTCTGACTACAATTGTGAATTTGTCTTTTTCTCCTTGTTTTCGCTTCTGTATTTTGAAACTTTTTAGATACATAAATGTATGTAATTGCTACCTCTTCTTGATCAATTAACCCTTTTATCAATAGAATATGACCTTTCTTTGCTCTAAAATTTACTTTGATGTGAAGATTGCTGCTCCAGCTTCTTGTGATTATGGTATATCTTTTCCATTTTACCTTCTAAGTTTTGTGACTATACCTTTTTAGTTTTGTGATTATACTGCCTTTCTGATGGGCAGCATATAGTTGGTTTCTCCCTTTTTTACTCAAAATCACAATATATGCTTTTTATTTGGGGTATTGACACTATTTTGATTTGATATGACTATTGATCAATTAGTATCTATCACAATCTTGCTATTTGTTGTACTAGCCCCATCTTTTGTTTGTCTCTCCTTTCTTCAGTTTATGTCTCTTGTGTATTAATTGAGCATTTAAATAATTCCATTTCCTCTTTTTTGTTGGCGTATTAGCTATAATTGTGCTTATTATTTTAGTGGTGGCTCTAGGGTTCACAATATACATCTCGGCCTTAACACAGTCTACGTTCATGTGATATTATACCACCTGACATAAATTAGGAAAATCTCACAGTGGTAAGATATTTATTCATATATCTGCTCCCTATCTTGCTTTTGTCATCACACATTTTACTTTTACATACAGTAGTCCCCCTTATCTGCAGTTTCACTTTCTGCTGTTTCAGTTACCTGCAATCAAGTGCAGTCCAAAGTTATTAAATGGTAAATTCCAGAAATAAGTAATTCCTAAGTTTTAAATTGCACACTAATCTGATAAGCCTCATGAAATCGTGTGCCATTTCCTTCCATCCCATGCAGGGGTGTGTACACATCCCTTGTGTACACAACCTGCCATTAGTCACTCAGTAGCCCTCTCAAGGTTGACTGTAGCAGCATCACAGTGCTTGTGTTCTAGCCACTCTTATTTCACTTAAATGTACAAAGCATAAGCGTAGCGATGCTGGCAATTCTGACATGCCAAAGAGGTGCCCTAAAGTGCTTTCTTTAAGTGAAAAAGTATGCATCTATAGGGTAAACAGCATATATGGGGTTCAGTACTATCAGCAGTTTCAGGTACCCACTGGAAGTCTTGGAAATATCCCCTCAAAATAAGAGGGGACTACTGTGATTTTTATCCAGGTCTTCTTTGAATCACTTTTCTTTAATACCTTCTCAAGTAGGGTTTTAATTAAACCAAGCCAAATTTAAATTTCTATTAAAAATAGACTAGAGAAGAAGAATATTAAACACAGAATGACTGCAGGAACATAAAAAAATACTAAAACAATATATGGACATACGTTAACATGCATTTTTGTGGGTGACAGGTGCTCCTGGACAATTGTTTGCAATGGCAGTTCTTAATGAGGGTTCTAATTTAAGTATTTTAAGGCTGGTGGCCACATGGGGCCTTGATAGTGGGCTCTGCATTGGCTGCCCACACAAGAGCTCAATGTGGTCTGAGTCAGTGACATTCAGTATCAACAGTTTATTGTAAATGTGTTGAAACTCTATATTATATAAGAGAAGATTTCACCATGCCTGACACTAAGCTCTGGTGCTCAAACTCAACTATAGAATCTTGAACTGTATAAAGGAATCCCAGAGATCCACAGCCAGAATGTTATTACCCAAGGTGACCTGTTCTGGTATTTTGAAGGTCATTCCCTTATCTCCCAAGATCAGAACAACAATTAAAGTCCCAAAGCACTTATTCCTCTTGGTGAGGGAAGAAGAGGACCACTTCTTTGTTCAGGACTCTGGGAACTATGAGGAGGGGTGAGCACATGAGGGTTTGAGAGCAGGAAGAGGGTGACTGTGCCACACGTGGTTAGGCTCCTGGCACAGAGGTACATGGCCTAGTCCCTCTGCTCTGCACGCTGGATCTTCAGAGTGGAGTAGGAGCCATCAGGCCTCTCAGCAGAGAACTGCTCTTTAGGCGTCCCTGATGTGTCTGAGGCATCCTTGTCTTGGAAGTAAAGCAAAAACTCCGGGCCCTGCCCCAACATCTGTCGGTACCAATAAAGGGCCCTGTGGCCAGAAATTGGGTCACGCCTGAAAGCGAGATCCTGTCCCCTCTCTGTGAGTATGTGCCTGGGAGACTGGAACACTCCAGCATTGGTGTGACCTGTGGAGACAGATTTGGGACTAGAATTGAGGAAAAACAAGTATAATCATCACACACACATACACACGCGTGCAC